CTCCTATCTTCAATAAACGACCAGAAAACCGGAAGTGGCACTGTAGCTCAAGTGGTAGAGCGCTCACCTTGAGCTGAAGAGCTGAGGGACAACGCCCAGGCCCAGAGTTCAAGCCCCACGACCGACAAAAAAAAAAAAAAAGACATTGCTATTGCACCCCCACCTTACCACTTTTGTACAGAAATCTAAGTGGTCAGGATTTTTTTGTATACAACTTTTTCCCATGAAAGACACAATTCTGAAGGACTTGCATGACCAGGCTGCCATCTCATGAGAAGAAGAACTTTCAAAGTGGCAGAGAGGACTGGGGTATTCCATCTAGATCCAATCATCAGTCTTGCCTAGAAATTCTGCTACAGCAACACTCCATAGGCCAGTTTTTCCAGTCTCAGACAATGTCACACCCCCTTAGGTGGTGGTGGTGGTGGTGGTGCAATGTCACACCCCCTTCGGTGGTGGGGGAGGGGGGGGAGAACCCAATCTAGAGCAGCCAGTGAAGTAATCGGACTCCACCTCAGAAAAGTGAAATCCAGTCATTCAGTAGAGCCACCTGCCAAAGGCTTGTCTAGCTTCTTTTTGTTAATCTTGCCTTCCAAATTTTTTTTTTGGGGGGGGGATCTGGTCATGGGGCCTGAACTCTGGGCCTGGGCACTGTCCCTCAGCTCTTCAGTTCAAGGCGAATGCTCTACCACTTGAGCCACAGTGCCACTCTCAGCCTTTTTTTCTGCTTATGTGGTGCTGAGGAATTGACCCAGGGCCTCATTGCATGCAAGGCAAGCGCTCTACCACTGAGCCACCTTCCCAGCCCCCAAATTACTTTTATAGAATGGCCCCGAGGCTTGGTGACCAGAGACTTCATTTTTTTTTTCTAGTCCTACTGCCAACTGTTATATGACTTTAGAAATAGTCCTTTCCACCTGTGCCTCAGCTCTGTTCAAATAAGGAGCAAAACTGTGCAGGAAGCGTTGCCAAGTACCTTCTGCCCATTTAGAGGAGACCCTTCCAAGCTGACAGTGCTCATTCGCTGTTCCAGATCATCATACACAAGTCATCATAACTCTTCCAGAAATCTGATTTGAAGCGAGTAGCAGTGAACTCCATGTGTTGTGACACACCTTTTGTAGAACAGGCACCTGTTCTAGCACCCCTTATTTAACACAATCCAAGTACTGAGAGCTTCCTGTGTGCCTAGCATTGTAGAGTATACCGTATCATTTGATTCAGACAATTCTGTGAGAACACTCACCAGATGGAAGAAATCTGCTGAGGACAAGGAACGCCCCTCCCCCCCAGAAACAGAGGTTAATATCAAAGAGTACTTAGGACTCCTAACTTAGCTGAAAGACCCTCGTTTCCAACCCCATCACAAGTGAATGAAAAAAGAGACTTAAGACTGGCTTATTGTTCGAATTTAGAAAGGCTTGAAGCAACTGAAAAATACATCCACAAACAGAAGAAAACATACCTAAATGTCAGTTGTTTCAAAATCAGTAAAATAACATCTACAAACCCCTGCACTTGTGCCTCTGTGAGAACTTACCTGTGTCCATGCCGCTACCAGACACTAGAATCATTTGATGACCACGATTCCAGGAGCTCTGATTAGCTGAAAGGTTGGAAAGGCTGCTTGCTGGCTAGAGGACTGGCCACATTTTGTTACTAACTTTCTGACACATAGAAGAGAAAGATGGGACATTATTCCTTTAGGCTACTGAAAGCAATTGAGAACAGCCTGTCTTCTCTAAAGGCATTCCCAGCAGTGTCTTCAAATGAGGCTCACCGTGTAGTCCACAATGCAACAGGGCAGGGCCTGGGGTGGGTAGAACCCCAACATCAATCAACTGGAGCTGGCCCATCTCTACCCTGAGTCAGGACAGGAAAGGTCAGTCTGTGGGCATTGCTCTAAATGAGAAATGTACTGGACAGTGGTGGCTTACACCTGTAATCCTAGCTACATGGAAGGCTGAGAACCAGAGGATCATGGCTCCAGGCCAGCATCAGGCAGACAAATCTGCAAGAATTATCTCAGCAGAAGCTGGGTGCAGTGGTATGTGTCTGTCATCTTAGCTACGACAGGAAGCCTAAAATAGGAGGATCATGGTACAGACAGATACATACCTTGGCAGGAAGTTAGACCCTATCTAAAAAAATAACCAGGGCTGGGAAGGTGGCTCAGTGGTAGAGCGCTTGCCTTGCATGCCTGAGGCCCTGGGTTCGATTCCTTAGCACCACATAAGCAAAGAGAAAAAAGCCGGAAGTAGCACCGTGGCTCAAGTGGTAGAGTGCTAGCCTTGAGCTGAAGAGCTGAGGGACAGAACCCAGGCCCCACGACCGGACCCCCCAAAAAAACAAAAACCAGCACATCTTATATATACACTTTTCTAATTTGGGGGTGGGAAGGGAAAAAACAAAATGCTTCAACAGGGATATAGGTTGACCCATTATAACAATGAGATGCAGAAGACACTATGTTGAAAAATGAACTTTACAATTTGGGGAGGGGGGTAGGATGCAGTTGAGGTGGGAGGGAAGGGATGATAGGGGAAAAACGGAGGTTAACAATGCTTGATAGGAAATGTACTCATTACCTTGCTCATGTAACTGTAACCCCTCTGTATTTTACAATTAAAAAAAAACATATAAAAAAATAACCAGCACAAGCCAGACACTAGTGGCTCACGCCTGTAATCCTAGCTATTCAGTAGGCTGAGATCTGAGGATCATGGTTCAAAGCCAGACCTGGCAGGAAAGTCCGTGAGATTCTTATCTCCAAGTAACCACCAGAAAACCAGAAGTGGCGCTGTGGCTCAAGTGGTAAGAGGGGGGAAAAAAAAAAAAAAACAGCACAAAAGGTCTAGAGGACTGACTCAGCAGTGTCCTTCACAGTATTCTGCTTAGCAAGCCCATGTCTCTGAATTCGAACCCCAGTACTGCTCCCTTTCTTCCTCCCCCTCCCCTGAAAAAAGAAAAACATGGAAGCCTAAACTTACCAGGAGAGGAGAGAAAGGTTAAAAGTAACCTGGGGACAGACTGCTATTTCTTAGGCCATATGACCCCAGGCCAAGTAGCCTCTGCCTCAATTTCCTCCTCTGGAAAATAAGAATACCTCTTTAGGTGTAAATGAAATTATGTCAAACATATGTAACAATAGCACTAACACCTAAGAGCATACTGAGATCAAATTTTTTTTTTTTGGGTCAGTCGTGGGGCTTGAACTCTGGGCCTGGGCGCTGTCCCTCAGCTCTTCAGCTCAAGGCGAGCGCTCTACCACTTGAGCTACAGCACCACTTCCCAAATTTCTGATTTTACAGATGAATAAACAAGGCCGGAGAGGCTAGGTGACTTGCTCCGACTAAACAGCTTGACCAGCCACTAGGACCAACTTTTTGCTGCCAAGCTTTACTTCCTCCAGGGTTAGCCTGGGCTGTTTCCATGATTGCCATGACTTCAGGCTGCTGCAATCCTTTCTGCCAGCTCCACTCACTCAGTGATAGCTCTTTGCCACTTGCTTCCTGGGAGCTCACACTACCCTCCTTGCAGCCTCAAGAGTGCAATTCAAGCATGCTCCTGGAGCCTTTGAGTCATCTGTTTGTGAATCAACCTCCATCCAATCTATTCTGAACACGGAGATCTCATCCTCCTCCAGTTTCTGGAACTGGGAGCTGGTGTTTTTCCCTTGTATTTTCATTACTGTCTTCCACCTGTAAGTATCGCAGGCTGCCCTCCCAGTTGTAGACTGGGGACTCAGAGTCAGAAGTGGATGTTAAAGAGTATAACCCTAAGATCCTGGAGGAAACCATGATGACCTGGGGGGCCCATTTTGGTAGAAACCCCTCACTGCCTGTAAGACTCAAAAGTGAACACAGGCAGACAGCTTGCTGGACAGATGCCCTAGGCAGCTGGGAGAACACTGGTGGCCATCTGAATCCCAGAAGCAGTTACCATGGCTACCAAAAGCTGACACCACTGGTTACATGGCTATGGGGACTGACTCAGCTGACCTCTCAAGGTCCCTTCCAATCCTGGCAGTCTGCTGCAAGACAATAGGAAGTCTTGTGACATACAAGGCTTAGGCATGGAAAGCCAGGGTGGCCTCGGAAGCACCTCAGAGGTCACCTTGTCTTACTCATCACAAGAGTTGAGTCACGTTTGGTGCATTATGAATATGCAAAGCTTGCTTTCCCTTTGGTGAAGCATCATACCTTTCACAAAGTGAGTTCACTACCACCACTTTTTATTTCTCTTCCTTTTACAGCTCTGGCCCATAACTTTGATAAAAGGTTTGTTCCACATTGTGACCAGGAAAACAGCTCAGAAAAACTTGCGTCACTAGGGCCCAGTGGGGTGTGCTCCATCAAACAGGACATGTGTCACGAGCCTTCTAAGAATCAGGAGGAAGGAAGTCATTCATAAAGGAGGCAGATGCTGAACTGCAACTCTGGTTTCCTCTTCCAAGTCCTTGGACTGTAGAAACATTGCTCCAGAGGCCGAATTTCTCTAAATGCACCTCCAGAAGCTCCGTCCTTATCCACATCAAGACATATCCCAAAAGTGGCTGATTCAGCCCATCTTCCCCACAATGGGGGTGGGGACTCCCAAGCCTGGTTTACATACCGACCTCGGGACACAGAAGTTTGTAGGGATGGACATGACTTCTGAAAGCATGGTAAGGAAACATCCAGAAACCTGAGTGCTGCCCATACTTACAAAAAGTTGCAAACCGTTTCTTACTCCTAATGTAGGAAGCTTCATGATGTTTGAAGGTGATTAAAAACAAAACAAAAAAACCTGCTTCTATCAAGAGCAAATCAAAGCCTTTATTAAACCTTCCTCCTTCAAATGGCCTGCACGAAAATCTATGCCCTCCCCCAGACTTGGAACTGCTAGAGCTGGTTGAGTACCCCTTTCCCTTAACAGGTTAGATCCAATCAGGCCCCACAAAACTGAAAAGCCAAGCCAAGACACACTAGAACTCTGCAGTTCTGTGCCCCTACTCAGAATCGAGGCAAAGGTTGGAAGTGCCAGCTCCTGACCCAGAGCTCAAGCACAGGAGAAGAGGAGCCTGAATTCTGGCCCTCCTTGTCCTACGCCCAGCTGTGTTGAGCTGGCCAAATGGCCCTAGGCCGCCACTTGATGAGGCTTACACATGTGCTTTTCCTTCTTTTCTCCAAAGAAAAGGGTGGAAGATGGAAGAGGCAATTTTCAGTTGTGTGTGATTGATTTTAAGGCTTTGGCTGTGTGGTCAGTTGCTGTATTAAAATACTTTCTGGGAACACCATCTTCTAAGCTCCCCATCCGAAAAAACGTATTTTCAAAAATGAAAACAGTGAACAAAGGTGTGGAGCTGAGTGGCTGCAGCAGCCCAGGTCTGTCTATCACGTCACGTCAGAATGGTGTCATCCACCTGCTCTGTGGAGTCCACCTGACCAGCCAGCTTCTTCAGGGACCTTCGGTTGCATTCATTCAGTGCCTCCAAGCTGGCCACATCCAGGATCTTGGAGAGGGACTGTGAGGAAGGATGAGCAGAAGATAGTCAGAAAACACACCTCAGACTCCTCAGTCCAACCAAGACAAAGATGGATGCTAACCTCAACATCAGGGCCACTGAGATGGAAACTGGCAAAATAAGGGAAGCAGATAGAGCCAGGGACAACTCAGGAAAATGCTCATCCTGCCTGTCCTAAACTGAGGGAGCACAGGTTGCAGTTTTTACTGCGTTAAAAGGCTGTTGGGGCAGGGGCTCAGAGAGAGGGCAGCTCTACTGGAATTTGTGGTGTGTGCCTGCATGTCATGGGAGACTTCTTTTGAGAATCACCATCACTGTATTTTCAGGTGGTAGGCCAGTCACTTGAGGGTCCATCTGCTCCTGACAGTGAGTACACATGTGGTGGCAGAGGCAATAGGCCTTAAGTACTACAGTGCAAAAGAGACTTAAAAATACCCACGGTGTGCCCTGCAAAGCATTTCAAGTCCAGGCTCCCACCTGAAACAGCTCCTCTCCCTGCCTCATCTTGAGCAGGTTCACAATGGCCTGGTCGCTGTAGGCCCTCACAACAGTGTTCTTATCCTTGGTATTGTCCAGAAGAGCCTTCAAGAGGGGCTTGATAGTCTGGGGCTCCAATGGAGGCAATGGGTCCTTGTTTGCCCACCAGATCATCTTCTCAGCTACCAGCCTGATGTCACTGGATGGGTTCTGAAGACACTGCAAGAGGAGCAAAGACATGTGTAATGATCTGCCTCTCAGAGCAGCTCAGATTCCTACCCCAACACGCTCTTCACCACATTGACCCCACTGCTCCTTGCTTAGGTTGTTGCTCTCTGGTGAGGGTGGTATGGTTCAGCCTGTTTACCTTCTCTACCTCATCTGGTACCATTCTCTCTTGGGTTTACCATTCCTAGCCCACATACAGTCCTTACTTCCGCAAACAAGCCACACTCCTTCCCGCCTAGGCCTCTGCTCCAGCTTACCCCACTGCTGGCCCTGAGATCTTAACCTCATTGGTTCCTTCTCATCTTTCAAATGTCTCTCTTGACAGCCCTATCTGAATTAGGACCCCTCTCCTCTGTGCTCCAGGGAGCTTGTCTGCCTCATTCATCTTCACCTCTTCAGGGTCTTACCCAGTACAGTATACAGTGGTACTTAGTAAATAAACACAAGAGCAAATGAGTAAGTGCAGGCTAATGCCAGGACACACAGACCCTGTCTTTGTTTTTGTTTTTTGCTGGTCTAGGAGGTTGAACTCAGGGCCTGGGCACTGTCTCTGAGCCTCTCTGTGCTAGCACTCTACCACTTGAGGCACAGTGCCATTTCTGGCTTTTTTCTGAGTCGTTTTATTAGAGATAAGATACCCATGGACTTTTCTGACAAGGCTGGCTTCGAACCACAATCCTCAGATCACTTCCTAAGTAGCTAGGATTATAGCTGTGACCTACCAACCCAGCTCAAAGAGCCCATCTTATTGGAGCCTTAGAAACTCTTATTCAGAAACTGGATGTCTGCAGAGGAAGTTGGAGCCTCATTATCCAGAGCCAGGCCCAAGCATGGCAGCAATGAAATTGCCTAGGAACTGGTCACAGAGGCAGAATTTAAATCATGGCTCTACCCCATTAAAATAGTTTGAAGCCATCCTGGGCAGTAAAGTCCGTGAGAGTCTTATCTCCAATAAAATACTCAGAAAAGCCAGAGGTGGTGCTATGGCCCAGGTAGCAGAGCACTAGTTTTGAGCAAAAGAAGCTCATGGACAGTGAGTAGGCCCAGAGTTCAAGCCCCAGGACTGGCAAAAAATAAACTAGAACAGTAGTTTTAACTTGATTCTGGGTAGAATTGAGAATCTGACCAAAAGTTGGAGACTTATAGCCTAAGAATAACAGACACAAATACTTTGCTTCCATTCTCAAGGATCTAGAGACCTCCTGGAGTTCTATGAAAAACTAGACGCCAACTAGTAGAGTATGATTCTCTCCTGAGGCCTTCTCCAAGCCAAGTTTGTGGATCACACTCACCTTAATGAACAGGCTGGAGAGTCTGGGTGGCATCTGACCACCTCCTGTCTCAATGTGGTACTTCATCAGGAAGCCCATGCCCCGGATTCCACTCACTGCGATGGGGATCTACAGAGAAGAGAAAATGCTAGAGAGACACCAGCAACCCTCCTCCTTGGAGACACAGAGTTGACTAAGACCCATTCCCCAGGGACTTCGAGGGCCCTTCACCACCTATCTCATCCCACACCACTTCACACCGATGCTTCACAACGCACTTCACATTCAGATGGCTGCTCTAATAGTTAGGCACAGGAATAAAGTCACTAGTTGACAGGAACAAGAATTAGAGATCTTCTGATGGAACTGTTTGGATGACAAAAGTAAATCTAAGAGGGATCAAGCACTATCCTAGGGCCCAGCAAGTTACCAAGCAAAGCAATACTAGCACCATGGTCTGAACATCCAACTGGGAAGTCCCCCCATACAGGATCAGCAAGTCAACTGCCGTGGAGGTCTGGCTAGGGTAAGGGAGGACCGTGCCCGGCTGCCTAAAAGGCCTTACCCTGTCTGCCACAGCATTGCTGAGGATCATGTCCTGAACTTCACTGCTGTATCTGCCTGCACAGAGTCTGCTGGAAGCCACATTAACAGCCACGGACAGTGCCAGGCTCCGCCCATGCCGAACCATCCAGTCAACTCCAGATACGTCAGCTGGGTGGAAGAACACAATCCATGAAATCTACCACTAAAACTAGGGTGCATATTTGGGGCATGGTGGAAATGCCAGGCCACGCTATGTACCTTCCTGCTTCCATGACAGAAGCCTCTGCCCCAAAGTGACAGGGCGGTCTTTCACTAACCATGTCCAGCTTGCAGCTATTCTTAGAGCAGTAACACTTGGAGCTGTGGGGCACTGGACATTTGAATTGTTTGAAAGAGTAGTCTAGGGGCTACAAGATTCTTTTTTTTTTTTTTTGTCGGTCGTGGGGCTTGAACTCTGGGCCTGGGCGCTGTCTCTCAGCTCTTCAGCTCAAGGCGAGCACTCTACCACTTGAGCTACAGCGCCACTTCCGGTTTTCTGGTGGTTTATTGGAGATAGGAATCTCACGGTCTCTCCTGCCGGGGCTGGCTTTGAACCACGATCCTCAGATCTCAGCCTCCTGAGTAGCTAGGATTACAGGCGTGAGCCACCAGCGCCCGGCTTACAAGATTCTTTAAGGTAGAAGGCAACAATGGCAGGGCATCTCCCCTGGGGCAAAGGGCCCAAGACCCTGAAGGGAGACCTACCTAGCAAGCACTGCTGAAGGACAGTGCTGAGCTCCTCTTCTGTCAAAAAGGCACACAACTCCCCCAGGCATCCAGCTGAGGAGATCCGTGTGTTATCCTGTGAACAGAATAGACAGGGGAGTAATTAAGAGAATGGAAAACCCCATAAGCACCCCCCATCCCACCCTACCCTGACAATGAGGGCCAAGAGCAATATGGAGCTGGGAAGGAGGTGGGCACAACAGCTCAGGAACTCTAAAGTCCCTCTTACTGGAGGCACTTGTATTCCCAGCACCAGATTGGGACTGCCATTCACCACAACTGCCACTTGGTGGAGAGTTAAAAATTACACACCCAGCACTTTTCTTAATTATAGAAACTCCAGCGTGTGTGCATATGGTAATCATCACCACAATAGCAATAATAACAGTATTTACATAGCACCTTTCTTCACAGGAAGTCTGAACGTTTTTCATTTAGTAACTCAAGTTACTATCCTAAGAGACAGAAGCAGCACAGCTGGGAAAGACCCCACCACAGAAAGGGGAACCACCTGCCCATAGCCACCTGGGAAGCCAGCTAGAAGCACCCACTCTCAGCAGCAGTGTGTCATTATGCTCAGATCCCTGCTGGGTGACCCACTGCCACCTAAATGATTTGGGGTGGTCCTAGTCACAATGAAAGCACTATTCAACCTAAGGAAGATAGGGAAAGGAGTGTTGTTTTTTTTTTGTCGAAATCAAGGTCAGATATAGAAAGGGCTTCTTGCTATTTCCCTGCCAGCTAACTCTGGAAAATATTTAATGTGTTATACTATTAGTAAGTGCCAACTTAACTGTGTCCCAACCCATCAAAAATCTCTGGGAAAGTTAATGTTTCCTGCAATGCCATCTTCAAACCAAGCAGAAGTCCTAAGGAGAAGAGGATGGATTGCCAGCAGTTTGGGCCTGAGCTCCAAGAAGAAAGGCAGGTACCATGCATGATTAAAACCTGTTTGGACACCCACTCTCTCCAATGTAAACCATTTTAAGTTCTACTGTGGTAAAATTCAAATTCCTTTAAATAAATAACTTTTGCTTGCACCATGCATGGTCCTATAAAAAGCTCTGGTAGACTGTGAGCCAAAGAGGACAGAAACTCCCACCTGTACCCACAGAGCAGTTGGGGCAATAGTCAGAGAGCAGCCAACTGAGGATCAAAATTAGAACTATGGCAAATACAGCAGCAACAATGCTGAATGGCACTAAGTGTGTACAGAGAAGTATAAAACCATACAAGCTGCATATGGTGGCACACATCTATAATCTCAGCACTAGGTAAGCTAAGGCAGGATGACGCCAAGTTTGAGGCCAACAGAGGTTACACAGCAAGACCTTATCTCAAAAACACAAGGACTAAGCTTGATGCTGGTGGCTCACTCCTGTAATCCTAGCTACTGAGGAAGTTGAGATCTGAGGATCATGGTTCAAAGCCAGCTGGGCAGGAAACTCTGTGAGACTCTTATCTCCAATTAACCACCAGAAAACTAGAAGTGGCGCTGTGGCTGGTAGAGCACTCGCCTTGAGCTGAAGAGCTGAGAGACAGTGCCCAGGCCCAGAGGTCAAGCTTCATGATCCACAATGGAAAAAAAAAAAAAAAAAAGACTAACCAGGCACCAATGGCTCATGCCCATAATCTTAGCTACTTTGATGGCTGAGATCTGAGGATGAGGGTTCAAAGCCATACTGGACAGACTCTTATTTCTAACCAATAAGAACCCAGATGTGGAGCTGTGACTCAACTGGTAGAATGCCAATTTTGAGTAAAAACACTAGGGGACAGCCCCCAGAACCTGAGTTCAAGCCCTAATACCAGCAAACATGCACACACACATGCGCGCGCGCACACACACACACACACGCGCGCACACACACACACACACGCGCGCACACACACACACACATGCGAAGTGGAGCAGCTGTGGCTCAAGTGGTAGAGCGCTTGCTTTGAGCTGAAGAGTACAAGGAGAGTGTCCAGTCCCAGAGTTCAAGCCCCACGACTGACCAAAAAAAAAAAAATCATCAAACTGGGGGCTTAGCAGTAGTGTATCTTTTAGCATGTACAAGGCCCTGGCCCGATCCTCAGAACCTTTTTTTTTTTTTGGGGGGGGGTCCGGTTGTGGGGCCTGAACTCTGGGCCTGGGCGCTGTCCCTCAGCTCTTCAGCTCAAAGCTAGCGCTCTACCACTTGAGCCTCAGCACCACTTCCGGATTTTTTTTCTTTTTGCTTATGTGGTAATGAGGAATCGAACCCAGGGCCTCAGGCATGCAAGGCAAGCGCTCTACAACTGAGCCACCTTCCCAGCCCCTCAGCACTCTCTTTAAAAACAAAAACTAAGTTAATAAAAGACAAAAAACAAAAACAAAAAACCACCCCAAAACATTAGTGAAAGTAATACTGCCTGACTCCTCACAGCCCAAGCAACTCCTGGCAAACCACAGAGTGACATAAATGCAGAAATGATTACTCCTCACCAGTTGGCAGTTGAATCAAATTTACCCACCGCAACTCAAAGAAGCCAACCAAAAGAAAGGAGACAGGGAAGCAGTGGAGTCCCCAGCCCAGCCATCCACCTGCTGCCGTACCTCATCATGTCCCAGCATGCTCAGCAGAAGTGAGACAATGTTTTTCCTTATGACAGCATCCACTTTGGCACCCGCTCCCTGAATCACAAACCTCAGGGCCTGCAGCATGGTGTCCCTATGGAACCAACAGACCAACTTAACCCCTGGTTCTCTGCACACAGAAGTGCAGCCTAGAGCAGCTGCCTGGCCTCCTGGAGGCCATGTCACTCCCACAGCAGCCCCTTACCTGACACCTGGGTCTTCCATGACACGAATTCCATTGAGCAGCTCTGTGAAGAGGGGGTCTACCTTGATGTGGATGGAAATAAGCTTCCCCAGGGCATCAGCAGCCTTTAGGCGCACGCCCCGGTTGGAGTCCTGCAGGGCTTTGGTGAAAGTAGTCTGCAGCTGGGGCAGAAAGGGCTTCAGGGCAATCCCAACCTATAGGAGAAACCCATACCCAAAAGTCTGTTGAGATGGATCCCAAGGCATGAAAAAATCATCACAAACCACCATGAGCTAAGCAAACTCTTTCACATAGGCTTGAAACAGCCTATATATAAGAAAGAACCAAGCACGCACATGTTTTCTAAGCCTCCTTCATCACACTGGAAGGAGGAAGAGGTAGAAGAGGTGGTGGAAGTGGCAGCCATTGTCAGAGGGAGTTGTCTTGCAGCCTTGGCTATATGAGGCGTAGCTTATTCGAGCACTGTCCACAAGGATAGCAATTCAAGATTTCCTTCTCTAAATCCATTAAGTAGCAGAAAAAGCAGTTGGTGATCAGCAGTGGACTAGCTGTGTAACAAAGCACCATCTACAGAACAAATGCACACAGTGCATTATTCTCAGGAGAATAAGCCTACAGAATGAATGACCTTCAAGAATCCTTTCTGTGCATGCCTGAACAAATCCAGCTCAATCCTTGGACATGTATTAAAAAAATGATCAGGCACACTTTTTATAAAATACAGATGAGCCCAGGAGTAAAAGTTTAATTCTTACTAAACAGGAGGTTCAATGCCAATGCAAGTCTGGGAATATTGGACTCAGGTGGGTTTTGAGGTTGTCTAGAGGCATGCTCAGGCAAAACCTCCTGTTACAGGTGACCATCTCAACAACAGGTTAGAGTCAAGCTGCCTAAGTATCCAGAAAAAATAAAAACAACACAGTAAAGAGCAATATAGGATGGAAGGTGACAGCAAGACGTATTTTGTTTTAAAAGGACTCAATTTGCTGGGTGCCGATGGCTCTTGCCTATAGCTACTCAGGAGGCGGAGGATCACAATTCAAAGCCAGGCAAGGCAGGAAAGTCCCATGACACTCTTCTCTCCAATTAACAACCAGAAATCTGGAAGTGACACTGTGGTTCAAATGGTAGAGTGCTTGCCTTGAGCTGAGGAGCTCAGGGACAGCGCCCAGGCCCAGAGTTCAAGACCCTTAACTACCACCACCACCACCAACAACAACAACAAAAAGAAGACTCAATCTTCTACAAAATGAGATTGATAATCTCATTTGGTGGGTGAGAAGTTGTTCCCTACACTCACTTTCAGAAGGAAAAAGTTACAAATCTTTTTTTTTTGGGTCTGGTCATGGGGCCTGAACTCTGAGCCTGGGTGCTGTCCCTCAGCTCTTCAGCTCAAAGCTAGCGCTCTACCACTTGAGCCACAGCACCACTTCCTGGTTTTTTCTTTTTGCTTATGTGGTACTGAGGAATTGAACCCAGGGCCTCAGGCATGCAAGGCAAGCGCTCTACCACTGAGCTACCTTCCCAGCCCAAAAGCAAGGCTTCTTTGAAGTGAATATTCGCATGCCACAGTATGCCTTGTTGTTGGTCTCCTGCAGACAGACCATTCTCTAGGATTGGAACACACCAATAAAATAAGCTCATCAGTTGCTCACCTTAGCCAGCAAGAGGCTGAGTGTCTCGAGCAGAGCTGCCTTCACATTCCAGCTGAACCGGTCCCCCAGGATGCGAATCAGAGGGCCAGTGATGCTGACCACAGAAGGCCTCAGGGCATCAGCCGAGGTCAGGCGGATCACCAAGCCTAAAGCTTTGGCTGCTTCTTCTTTTTGCTCAGGACTGCCAGTAAGGACTCCTTCCCGCAATACTGGAAGGATGGAGGTTACCCCCTGACAAAAGAAACACAGCTGAGTCCAGTCACAAAGGCTCTGGGCCCATTGTCTCCCATCCAAAACAAAGCACTCTGAACAGCTATCCTTTTGCCAGCTCCAGGAGATGATGAAGTAGGCTGAATCTTAGGAGCTGGTTGGAGGTGCCAAGAGGATAAAGGCACTACCAGGCCTATCATCACGCACAGGTAACATACCCTGCTGCTTCCTCTCATGACCCACCTGCTGTGGGTACAGGTTGCCTCCACAGCCTAAACCAAAGGTGGTCTCCATCCTGGCATCAATTGCCACCATGGAAGATGCACACTGTCTGTGAAGGTGCTCAGGAGAACCTAGAATGCATACTAGACTGCTGCTCCTGGCTTACCTTCTTTGGGAGGCAGAAGCCAGGCACATGCTCGCCTTTGCTTTCGTTGCCTATGAGCCGGATTTCCTTATGCAGCTCTTCGATCAGCGCCAGCTGGTTGCCAGCATCCAGCTTCTGTGGGAATCCAGGGAAAAGCAGCAATGAGGTACAACCCTCCTTCTCAACAGCAGGGGGAGGGTGTGGGCAGGAGATAAGATTGGCCACAAGCAGATCCTTGTTGAAGCTGAGTGACAGGAACATGGAGGATTCCTGTCAGAATCTACTCATACAAATGTCTGGCATTTTAAGTATGTCATGGTGGCACATGCCTGCAGTCCCAAAACTTGGGAGGCTTAGGTGAGAAGATAGTTTGAACCCATGAGACCAGACTGAACAAATACGCAAATAAACCCTAAAATTATCAAACAAGCTCAAAATATCTGGCATCTTCTCCAATTAAGAACTGTTTCTGGAGTCAGCAGTCTCCTCACCTTGGTGATGGCATTTAGTGCATCCCAGCTCTCCTCCAGAACCACGGGACTGGAGTCATTAAAGAGGCGGATCAGGCCTGAGACCAGGCTCCGCAGGTGACTGGTGTAGTCAGCTTTGGAGCGAGAACAGTAGATGTTGAGGATGATGGCAGCTGCCTGCCTCATGCCCACCTCAGGGCTGCGTGTGGCTTCTAACAGATCCTCTATGATTATCCGGTGCCCAGTGTCATCCTCCACTGAAAGGATCACAGCCTGACAATTGGCCATCTCCTAAAAACCATAGGGAACATGTGGGCTAAACATGGATCCTCAAAGCAGGACAAGATGGCTATTAGAAAGCAATGGGAGTGACCAGACCTTCCTTACCAGCTGCTCATCTGGAGTCCCCAGCTTTTCCTTCAGGGCCAACATGACTGCGGGGAGGATCACACCAAGATGACGAGTAAGAGCATCACCAGCCACAGATGAAAGGAAAGCCAGCACCCGGGTATTGACAGGTGGCGTTGTCAGCTGATGGGATGATGAACAACATCACCTTGATGAAGACTGCACCTGCTCAGTGCCAGGCCTAGCACTAGGAAGAGAAGGGTGGGCAGGAGAGCCTCTGCCCCCTGCTCAGAGCCAAGGGCCTGCACCAGTGCATCTAAGAGAACAAGGGGTACTTCCGAGCTGCATTATACCCACTGACAGTCTTACCCCAAACCTATGTTTAGCACCACTCTTTACTGCAGGCCCAAGAAGGATCTGGGCTTCAGGGCCTGTGAGGGTTTGCCATGTATTGGGATTTACCTTGGGGACGAGGTAGGGCAGCACTACGCGACTCTTAATGGCCATAACTTGCTTTAGACCGTCCAGGGCAAATTCTGACACATCATCATCATCCTGCAGAGGGATATTGCAGACAACACTGAGGAGCTGGCTCCTACACCTCTACTGCTGAACAAACCACTGCCAATTGCCTCCTCCACTCCCAATGCTCACATACTTAACTGCTGTCCAAGGAGAAGCAGAAAGCCAAGTCCAATCTTGATGCACATCCCCACTCCTCCCCTCCCCCTAAAAGGCCCACATTCCAACTGCAGTGGCAGTTATCACTCTATTATTTTGCTGCTACAAAGATAGGAAAAGACACACTGTGTGGCAGATCCACTTACCAGCTGCTTCAATAAAAATGGGAGAATGTCCTCCAGAGCCTGGTGGCCGATGGTGGAGTGTAGCTGCTCAAAGGTCTTGGCTGCCGCCTCTCGGACCTCCTCCAACGGGTCACACAAAGCCTTCCTCGCTGTGGGCACGAGGGACTCAGAGAAATACAACACCTACAACAGTACAAGTGCAGCTATACAAATGCAGAAAATACCTAGAGCAAACAGAAGCAACTGAGGGGACAAGGCCAAGGGTTCTAACCCAGCCAAGCCACTAACCCCTTTGCTGGACTTTTCGGTTAACCCTATACCATAAAAATACAAAAATGCAGAGAGAAAGAGGATACATGAGGTACCTCCATGAATCCCTCACCCAGACTTAACAATTGAGAGTTCCAACTATCCAAATGAATTTTCAGGTACTTCCTATCTTTATGGAAACTCCTAAACTCCTCCTACAGCAAGGCCTGTAGGATCTGCCTCTCTCTCTCTCCCTGGACTTTTTGTTCATTCTCTTGGGAAATTCCAAATAATTCAAGCCTCAAAACCCAAATACAGCCGGGTACCAGTGGCTCACGCCTATAATCCTAGCTACTCAGGAGGCTGAGATCTGAGGATCATGGTTCAAAGCCAGCCCGAGCAGCAAAGTCTGTGAGACTCTTATCTCCAAAAAACCCACCAGAAAACCAGAAGTAGTGCTGTGGCTCAAGTGGTAGAGCGCTAGCCTTTAGCTGAAGAGCTGAGGGACAACACCCAGGCCCAGAGTTCAAGTCCCACGACTAACCAAAAAATAAAAAATTCAAGTATGTCTTCTTGTATGAAATCTTTACGTCTCTAACCAGCCTAGTGATGGCTCTGTTTCTTTTTTTTTTTTGGTGTTTTTTAAATTATTATTATTTTTTTTTATGGTCAGTTGTGGGGCCTGAACTCTGGGCCTAGGCACTGTCCCTCAGCTCTTCAGCTCAAGGCTAGCCCTCTACCACTTGAGCCACAGCACCACTTCTGGCTTCTTCTGCTTATGTGGTGCTAAGGAATCAAACTCAGGGCCTCATGCATGCAAGGCAAGCACTCTACCACTGAGCCACCTTCCCAGCCCCAATGGCTCTGTTTCTTGAGTAACCAAGTCTACCACAGCAAAACTCACTCTGAATTTTACGAACTGGCTGATGTGCTAGCCACATCATTGGGCCATAGACACAGATATGAAGACCCAGAAACTACTCAATTATTTACAACTTTTGGGTGACAGAATCTTTGGATTCTTTGCCAACTGTACATGTGAAAGACCAAATATAAGATGTACAGACACAGAGGAGGGGATCTAGTAACCCAATTAGGATGCTCAGGCAAAGCAACTGACTATTGCTTTTATCTTTAACTGATATCCACTTAACTCCCATCTACATTGTCACACAACTCAAGAGCCCACATTCATTGTCATCTACACCCTAGCTGTGTTTTGAGTATCAGTGACCTTAGAAAGTAAAGTCAAACCTTAACAATCAAGTACTCCAAACCTCTTGACTAGGGAAAAAGTATTGCCAGACAATACATTTCCACCCACTTGTACTTAATCTCTTTTTCTAAGAATGAATGTACATTCCCCCTGCTCCCAGATGCTCTCTGCCACACTCAAGTGCACGCCTCCTTTCCCATTACGGAGGCACCACAATTTTTGGCCTATTTTATAGATGACATGAGACAGCAAAAACTCAAGAATAGTTATTTTAGTTTCCAAAGACTACTTAAGAAAGCCTTAGTTGTAATACCTATAGCAAAGCTTAAGAAGGAAGCAATTTAAGCTAGGCCAATCAGCATCCTGCTGCCAGCAGCTCCCCTCCAGTGAGGCTGCTGTCTCCTGTGACGTCTCCCAGCTCTGTGACCAGGCACCTGCAGGTACATGACCTGGGACTGGGGAATGGGGGGGGGGGGGGGGGGGAGTGAAGAATACTCACAGCGTCTCGGCTGGTGGATTTCATGATCTCACTCAGCCCGATGCACACTCCCTGCCTTTCATCGCTCTTCTGAGATCTCAGGCCTTCCTCAAGGATGGGGATGATCTCAGGAAGGATTTTCTCCCCAAGCTTCCGGACAAGATCACCCAGTGTTCTAGCTGCAATCTGTCAGCAGAGATTAAGTCAGGATATCAACTTCCTGCAAACCTAAGGTCACCCAGAGGACAATGCACAGGCTTTTATCTAAGTCATTAATGTAGCTTCCCAAACCCTCTCACCCCTACAGAGCCCTTGAGAACCTGAAAACATACTACAAAAGAAAACTATTTTTAGGCCAGGTATGATGACACATGACTATGATCCCAGTACTAGGAAGGCTGAGGCAGAAGGATCATGAGCTATACAGGGAGACCCTGCCTAGAAAAGAAAACCAAACTATCTCTGAGGTTGACCGGACACGTTGTATACGTATGTGGAAATGTCCAAATGAAACCACTCTTCTACAACTAACTAATGTATGCTGAAAGAAAAGGAAAGGAAGAAGAGGAAGGGAGGAAGGGGAAGGAAAGGGAGAGGAAGAAGGGAGAAAGGAAGGAAGGGAGGGGGAGAAGGGGAGGGAGGGAGGGAGAGAAGGAGGAAGGGAGAGACAGGAGAGAAAAGGGGGGGATGGGGGAGGAGAGAGAAAGCCCCTATCTGTTTCACACACATCTACAGCCTAAAGCAGAAGCTGGTATAGTATACAATTAATATGAAATTCATTACAGGCTGCATGACCAAGGCATTCAATTTCCTTGTAAATTTAGCCTTTTACTTTTGCTCAAAGGGAACTGAATTTGAAACACTGTTTTTTGTTATTTTTTTTTGTCAGTTATGGGACTTGAACTCTGGGCCTGGGTGCTATAGTGCTCTACCACTTGAGCCACAGTACCACTTTGGGTTTTCTGGTGGTTAATTGGAGATGAGAGTCTCACGGACTTTTCCTACCCAGGCTGGCTTTGAACCATGATCCTCAGATCTCAGCATCCTCAGTAGCCAGGATTACAAGTGTGAGCCACTAGCGCCAGGCTTTGGAACACTCTTTAAGGGAAAAAACCTACATCCTCCCTAGGTCTCATACAAACTTTTCTTTAAAAATAAATACAGCTGGGTACTGGTGGCTCATGCCTGTAATCCTTGGTAGAGAAGGCTGAGATCTGAGAATCGCAGTCCAAAATCAGCTTGGGCAGGAAAGTCCATGAAGACACTTATCTCCAATTAACAACCAGAAAACTGAAAGTGAAGCTGTGGTTCAAAGTGGTAGAGCGTTAGCCTCGAGTGAAAAGAGCTCAGACAGTGCCCACGCCCTGAGTTCAAATCCCACAACCTTCCCAACAACAACAACAACACCTAAAACTAAATATATAATTTGCTTACCAGATGGGGGCTGGAAGCTGTCCAAAAGAGACTAATATGATAGCCAGGTGCCAGTGGCTCATGCCTATAATCCTAGCTACTCAGGAAGCTGAGATCTGAGGAGTAAGGTTTGAAGCCAGCCTGGGCAGAAAAGACTTATAACCAATTAACCACCAGAAGTAGAGGGGCTGGGAAGGTGGCTCAGTGGTAGAGCTCTTGCCTTGCATGCATGAGGCCCTGGGTTCAATTCATCAGCACCACATAAGCAAAAAGAAAAAAGCCAGAAGTAGAGCTGTGGCTCAAGTGGTAGAGTGCTAGCCTTGAGCCAAAGAGCTGAGGGACAGCGCCCAGGCCCAGAGTTCAGGCCCCACGAATGGACCCAAAAAAAAACCAGAAGTAGAGCTGTGGCTCAAAGTGGCAGAGTACTAGCCTTGAGCAAAAGAGCTCAAGGACAGCCCCCAGGCTCTGAGAGTTCCAGACCTACAACTGACCTCTCCTACCTGCCCCCCAAAAAAGACTACACAGCAGACGATCATTAGCCCAGACTCCGCACCTACTCCCAACCACTGAACCTCATCCGTCTCCACCTAAGCATCAACCTTATATATCTAAAACCATGCTTTCTCCTCCCTATTTCTCCATCTTCAATGGCCTCTGCTCAACCTCTAGTGTGTATCATGGCCCTGCCTACCCTATATCCGGCCTGGTATCTAAAGCACTATGCCCTGTGTAGTAGTCTCTCACCACTCTTTAGCTGGTTAATACTTAATCATTTTCATTTTTAAGCATCATTTCTCCCAAGAAGACTTTGCTGCGCTTGCTAAGCCACACACCCCTGTAATCATGTATAGGTATATTCAGCACTTGCCACAGTTGATCTGACAGCTGTCTGTGTGATTATCTGATTAATATGCATCTCCTTAACCAGGATAAATGAGGTTGCGTTTCTTCTTCAGTCACTAGGCTCTTGTATGTTAGCACATAGTAAATATCTGCTGAATGACTAAGTAAACTAAATGGTCCTCTGTGAAACAGGGGACACTTGGGTCTCTCCCAGGCTCTGTAGATATACATCTCTTGCCACTAAAAGGAGGTAATGATGGCTGCTAGGGCAAAGCAAGGCCCCAGAGACTTACCGTTCTCTTATCTGCACAAGTACTGGCCAGGAAACCCAGAAGGAGACCAAAGAGAGTTGGCAGGATCTCTCGCAAGGTGCGGGGAGTATTGGAGACAACAATCTTCCACACGTGCAGAGAGGCCTGTCGCACCACCAGCTGGGTGTCTGAGCGGCCCATGTAGAGCCCTGCCAGTACCCGATTCCGACGATCAACCCCCAGGGCAGTGATGATTGCCTGCAGCCAACAGAAGGGGATGAAAAACACAGTATAAAGCATCTGCATGAGGGGCTGGGAAGGTGGCTCAGTGGTAGAGCACTTGCCTTGCATGCATGAGGCCCTGGGTTCAATTCCTCAGCACCACATAAGCAGAAAAAAAAGCCGGAAGTAGCATTGTGGCTCAAGTGGTAGAGCGCTAGCCTTGAGCTGAAGAGCTGAGGGACAGTGCCCAGGCCCAGAATTCAGACCCATGACCGGACCCCCCCCCCAAAAAAAAAAATCATCTGCATGAGCATCAGGGTCTACCCCTCCCACCAACTATGGGAAGAAAACAAATGCCAGGCACCCACCTTGTTTGACTGGGCAGTTCCAAAGTTATCATCCTCAGACGCAGTTTCTGTGGTCATTTTCCCAGTAACCCCTGAGATGTGGAATAGGAGATCCCCAAGGAGCTGAACAGAACTAAACCTGAGAAGGAGGTCAAGAACAGAGTTACCATGATCACATCTATAACCTAGCTACTCACAAGGCAGATAGGAGGCTTGCAGTTTAAGGCCAACTAAAGGAAAAGGACAGCAAGACCTATCAGGGGCTGGGAAGACAGCTCAGTGATAGATTGCTTGCCTTGCATGAATGAGGTCCTGAGTTCGATTCCTCAGCACCACATAAGCAGAAAAAGCCAGAAGTGGTGCTGTGGCTCAAGTGGTAGAGCACTAGCCTTGAGCTGAAGAGCTGAGGGATAGCTCCCAGGCCCAGAGTTCAGGCCCCATGACCGGCAAAAAAAAAAGACCCTATCAGAACAAGCCAAGGATATTGGAACATTATCTATAGTGCTAGCTACTTAAGAATCATAAATAGGAGGACTGCAGTCCAAGACCAGCCTGGCAAAAGTACAAGACTATTTTGAAAAACTGCAAGCAGAATGGGCTTGGGCTGAAGTAATAAAACACCTATTTAAGCAAGAGTTAAGCCCTGAGTTTCATCCGCAGTGACTGAAACACCAAAAAACAAACAACACCCCGCACACCATAACAAAAAGAACAGTCAATTATACAGCCTCAAGTGACAGTCTCAGAGCTCGCCCCACCACTATACAGAAGGAAGACTGGAAGCAAAAATTTTTGTTGTTGGTGGTGGTGGTGATGGGGCTTGAACTCTGAGCCTAGGTGCTGTCCTTCAGCTCTTCAGCTCAAGGCAAGTGCTCTACTACTTGAGCCACAGCGCCACTTCACCCAAAAATTTTATAGTGGCTATCTTAGAATGGGGTGTGGGGTGGTGCTAAGATGATTTTCATTTCTACATGCTTTCCCACATTTTCCAAGTTTTCTGGTAGTAAACATGCTTACTTTAGTATTGGAAGGCTGGGGATGTAGCTCAGTGGCATAGTACGTTACTATTAGAAAAGGGCCAGAAATAGTGATCGAGTACTTTCACATCAGAAAAGGGCTATGGATGTACATGGCTCTGGTTTCAGTCCCCAAGCATGGCAAGAAAAAGCAAAAAGGAAAGTAAACATTTTTAGAGGCATATGTGAAATTTCCATAATAAAAGATGTAAGCACAGAGAGAGGGCTAAGGTTGAAAGTGCGCTTTTACCCAACAGAAGCTTCACAGGAAGCAAAGACAGATCATCTCAAGTGGAGAAACACAGAGACGAGACTAGAAGGATGAATTTTATTTCTTCTCAAATTAAATTAGGTTTATTGTTTCTATTATTTATTTTTTTAATGGCACTACAGTTTGAATTCAGGGCCTTGGACTTGTTAGGCAGGCACTCTACCACTAAGCTATAACTGCAGCCCCATTTTTTGCTGATTGTTGTGTGTGTGTGGTTTATATTGATAGTGGGAAATCAACTCAGGACTTCACACTCTCATTCACTTTCTTACTTAAAGCTGGCTCTCTAGAGCCACTCCTATATCCCACTGTTTTGCTAGCTAATTGGAGATGGCTGGCTTTGAACCCTCAGTCCTCCATGTCTCAGCTCCCAGAGTAGCTAAGATTAGGGACAGGAGCAACTAGCACTCAGCATTACTAATTATTCTTGAGATAAGATTTCACTTCTTGCCTAGGCATGCACCTGGACTGTGATCTGCCTATTTTAGGCTTCCTGTTGTTGCTGGAATGACAGGTGCATACTACAACATCCAGCTTTCCTCTATTGAGACAGAATTTTGAGGACTTTTCTGCCTGAGCAGGCCTGGAAGTACAATCCTTTCAATCTCAGTCTAACATGCAGTTTAGATAACTCATTGAACACCACTTCACCACTGCACCCAGCTATGGGTTAAGGAAGTGGTCTTGGGAATTCTTCTGCCCAGGCTGGCCTTAACACCATGATCCTCCCAGTCTCAGCCTCCCAAGTAGCTAGGACTATAGAATTAAAAGCAATAGGGCTGGGAAGGTGGCTCAGTGGTACAGTGCTTGCCTTGCATTCATGAGGTCCTGGGTTCGATTCCTCAGCACCACATAAGCAGAAAAAGCTGGAAGTGGCACTTTGGCTCAAGTGGTAGGGCGCTAGCCTTGAGCTGAAGAGCTGAGAGACAGCGCCCAGGCCCAGAGTTCAGGCCCCATGACCGACAAAAAATAAATAAATAAATAAAAGCAATAAACCAGGAAAATAAGTCACATTTAAACTGAAAATTTGAGAAAGGTGGGAAGATAAAGAGTGTGCAAATAACCCTCAGGTAGTCACTCAGATACTGCACACCTTACACTACAAATGGACTCATATAACCCACACAATGTGGGAAACAGGTCAAATTGCACAGCCTACACTGTCCAGTTAACAACAGGCTGGGGAATTCTCTGGGCAGCCTATACTATGCTTTGTAATAGCAGAGTAAATGCCCACTGCATGGATATACTATCCTATTTCAAAACAGCTTCCAATTTTTTCAAAGATTAAAAAACAATTTTATGTACACAGCTCTAAACACTTGACCAAATTTATTTTTCAAATAAATTCCAAGAAGTAGAATTACGAGGAGAAAGATTCCTCACAATTACTCTTAGTAGAAACTGTAGGAGTAAATAGAGAAACTTTTTTTTTTTTTTTTTTTTTTGCTGGTCCTGGGGCTTGATCTCAGGGCCTCAGTGCTGTCCCTGAGCCTCTTTGTGCTCAAGGCTAGCCCTCTACCACTTGAGTCACAGCACCACTTCCAGCCTTTTCTGAGTAGTTTATTGGAGATAAGAATCTCATGGACTTTCCTGCCTGGGCTGGCTTTGAATCATGATCCTCAGATCTCAGCCTCCTGAGCAGCTAGGATTACAGGCAGGAGCCCCTGGTACCTGGCTTAGAGAGACCTTTTAAAGAAGAACCAGAATAAAGACATTGCTACAGAAAATAAGATAACATAATGGTTAAAATTACGGGTTTGGAAAAAGTTGAGAGTCCATGGAAACTTTCTGCTTTTCATTTTGCAACCAGAATTCCCAAAATGCAAAACCTGGGCCCATTGGATCTTTGGGCCTAAGTCCTTACCGGATCCTCCAGAGGTCATCAAAGAGGCCTTGCTCCAGTTGGGGCAGCAGCAGTGCGATAGCTGTCTCAGCATACATGGAGATGACCCGTTGGCCGGCACGCAGGGCAGTGTCTCGCACAAACTCGTTCTCATCAGCCAGGGCCTAAGCACATGGAAAAAGGTGGTGGGCAGGGCTGCCTCCCCTTACATACCCAGGCCAAAACAAACTGGAGCTCTCTGAAGACTATGACAGGAACTCCTGCCACCTGGCCCCCAATAGGGAGCTCTCAGTCTCCAGGAGAGCGGTGGCACCCTCTCCCTTCCTCCCTCCTCAATGTTACTGGTACCTACTTTGAGGATACAGGGAATGATGGGCCCCACATAAGGGGTGAACTTGTCCCCAAAGGTGATGGGCAAGTAGTTGAACATCATGATGTAGCCATCTCGAACATGGGGTGCAATGTCCACTTTACTGGCTGTAGCCACAATTTCTGGCATCAGCTTCTCTAACTTCTCTACTCCCAAACCAGCCATGACCTCAGCCAACCCTGTAAAGCAAGGACAGAATGAACCTACTGGAGCAGAGACCCCTCCAGGGCACTTCCAGTCTGGCCCCTGTGCCTACTCCAGCCTCACCTTGTGCAGCGCCTGAGCGATCCACAGAGCTCTGCTCATACGTCAGTGTCTCCATCAGCCATGGCAACAAGTCCTCAAAACAGGATTCCCCCATGCCCTTTACCATAGCCCCAAGAGCCTTTGCAGACACTGTCCGCACCTGTCAAGTGACACAGGTGAAGAAAAGCAGTTCAGGAAAGGAAAGCCATACAGAAACAGGGAAGGGCCACCAGCCTTCCTTTTGCCTGATGAACACAAAAGCAGCTTTGCAGAATCAGTTTTCCACTGATTAGTCTAAAATACTGAGCTTCCCCCACCCCACACTCACCTCAGGCACAGGGTCCAAAAGTGAGGCCTTCAGGCCAGGTGTTACACTGGGCAGGTAAGGAGCCAAATCCTGAAAACACAAGAGTTGACTGAAGCCGAGGTCTGGCTCTGGCTTTCTTCAGCCCCTGTTCTGTGGTGGACCCTGACCTCAGCACTGAGATGAAAAGAAGCTCTCAGCAGGACCCATGCATAAGAACCTCACTGTACAAGAAGAGCTGGATCACTGACAAAGCTCTTCTCACCAATTCCTTCAAGGCACTACCCTCATAGGCCAAACAGAGCCACCAGCTACAAACCAAAGCCTAACTCCTGTTCTTTTCTTGGGAGCAAAGCCTGCTTAGATTCTGTAGTTGTTAGAAAAGTATTTCTGGTACTCTATCAGAATCTCACTATTATCTTCTCTTTCTTAGCTTAAAATGTATATGGCTTCTGATGTAACATTTGGCTTTAAGGAGTTATTGTAAATATACAAAATGCCTTATGTTCATTGCAGCAGGCTTTAAGTTTTAAAAAAACAGGCCTGGTAGAGTAGTGGTAGAACACTTGCCTTGCATGCTTGAGGCCCTGGGTTCTATTCCTCAGCACCACATAAGCAAAAAAGAAAAAAGCCGGAAGTGGCGTTGTGACTCAAGTGGTAGAGCACTAGCCTTCAGCTGAAGAGCTGAGGGACAGCGCCCAGGCCCAGAGTTCAGGCCCCATGACTGGACCCAAAAACAAAAAAAAATAAATAAATAAAATAAAACAACCTTGGACACTGTAGACCAATGATAAGATCAAGTAAATTATGACATATGAATTTGTTGAGACAGTATAGCACACTAAAAGCCAAGTTTTGATTAACTTGTTATAACTAGGAAATAATATTCAAGAATATAAAAAATATTAAAAGTAATTGTTTTAGCCAGGTGCTGGTAGCTCACCTATATAATCCTAGCTACTCAGGTGATTGAGATCTGGGAACCACAGTTTGAAGAAAAGAGGAAAGTCTGTGAGACTCTTTATCTCCAACCATCAAAAATCCAGAAGTGGAGGAAATGGCACTGTGGCTCAAGTGGTAGAGCACTAGCCTTGAGCACAAGAGGCTCAGGAGAGTGCCCAGGCCCTGAGTTTAAGCCCTACAACCAACAACAACAACAACAAATTTTAAATCCAGAAGTGGAGTTGTGGTGGTAGAGTGCCAGCCTTGAGCAAAAATATAAGGGACAGCACCTAGTCCCTGAGTTCAAACCCCAGTATAGGCATAAAAAGAAAAAAAGAATTGTTCTAATGTTGGAGGACAATTAGTAATTTTTTTTTCCATTGTGGAACTTGAACTCTGGGCCTAGGCACTGTCCCTGAGCTCTTCAGCTCAAGGGGTGTACTCTCCCACTTGAGCCACACCACCACTTCCGGTTTTCTGGTTGTTAGTTGGAGATGAGTGTCATGGACTTTCCTGCCTGGGCTGGCAGCCTCCTGAGTAGCTAGGATTGACAGGTGTGAGCCACTGGTGCCCAGCTGATTTTATTTATTTGAGATGAGTCTACACGTAGCCTTCCAGTCTTAAACTAACAATCCTGTTGCCTTAGACTCTGCAGTGCTGGGATTACAAGTACATGTCACTATGTCCAGCCTAACTCTTCCACTTTATCTTCTTGTCTATGGAAGCAGAGATTCCAAAAACCCATACTCTGCCTCAGTCTATACTAGGCCTACTGGGACAGACCTTAGCTGGGAACTAAACCAGTAAAAACTTGAACCACTATGCTCTGGATGACACTCATAGAGGCCAAACTTTTACCTCATACCCCAAATGGCTCTTTTTTCTCTGCAAATATAATCAGGAAAGTGCTCACATCCCATGTTGCTCTGGGCAGAACCCTGCATTCTAAATCTTCATCACTCTAACTGTCCACACCAGCCCAACCTAGGCTACTACCTTCTGGTCTGTCAGGGAGTACATGTTGCCAATAATCTGTGCTGCCATCTTGCGGGTGTCGGTAGAACGATCCTGAAAGGCTCTCTGGACAATGGGCATGATGAGGGCCAGAGATGGAGCATCAATGAAGTGGACAAATTTGGTGTCCAGCAGGGTCTGCAGGCACTTCTGGGTCTTTCTCGATGGGTCCGTCAGGGCATCCAGCAGGACAGGGGCAATGGCTACAGGAGAAAAGTTAGTTAGTACATGTCTAGGAAGAGGCAGACCCACTATTCCCCAGAAGCAAAGTAGAGAGGCATACCCAGGATCTCCGGGTTCCGGATGACGGAGCCAATCTGCCTGAGTGCCTGCTGTCCAGCCTTCTGGACTTTGACGTGGGAGTCAGTCAGCACCTCTGTGAGCTTGGGCACAATGTTGGGTAGGCAGGATGACAGCTGTTTGGGAGCACAATATGCCATTGCTCCAAGCAACTCCACTGACCCTGCAGACAGAAAACATGTGGCCAGAATTGCATCACTGGGCAATGAATGGCAAGAAAGTCACCTGTGCAAAATGACTGGCCAGAGACAGCTAGCTTGCTGTTGTGCAAGTTGTGCTCAAGCAATTCCCAGAGGAGGGTAGAGGGGGAAAGGGCTCCCGGGGCCTCTGAGCTGTGAAATCCCAGGTGAGGGACAGATGGTATAGGGAAAAGAGGAGACAAGTTCAGGACAGAGAGTTCTGGCAGTGATCCAAGGGCAATTCGCTGAATTTTCCTGGCTTCGAGTGTCATATGTATGAATGAGGAAAATCATTCATCACTATATATATTAGTTACTATATATTATAAGATATGCACGTATGGAAACTTTCACTTTATGTATTACATATAAACATGTATTTACATACATTTTATATATTTTTAATATTATATAATGTATACACACACATATACTATATATGAGTGTTAGATCTTTTGAGTTTCATAAGCAGATATTCTACCATTTGAGTCATTACCTCCACCTTTTTTCTTTTTTAAATAAGGTTCTGTGTTTCAGCCTGACATTTACTTATGTCTGACTCTCTTGTAGCCAGGATGACAGGTATGTACCACAACACCTGACCAAGATTACATTTTTTTAAAGTTGTATTGAGGGTAAACGCTGCAGAATAGCTTTCAAGCTCAGGATTTCTTGACTGAGAGCTATGGCTCATATCAGAGACTCCTGAGCTTGAACACATGCAAAACTACAGAAGGACCAAGCTGCCTAAAGGCATGGTAAGTCTCAGTCCCTGGGCTGGAGACCACACGCACAGGACCATAGCTGTGGTTACCTGAATCCTTGCCGAGGACATTTTTCAGAGCAAGGAAGCTGAGAAAGCCTTACCAGCTTTGGTCCGCCAGGATTCCTCCTCCAGGGCAGCCAGTAAGGAAGGGAGCACTAGCTTCACGCCATGAGCACTGAGGTTGCTCATCACAGCCTTGGCACAGTCATCTGCAGCCTCAAGGGAGGAGAGAAGGTGTTCAGTGGTCAAGCACTGATACCACCACTAGTGATAAGAGTCACCAACACATACTGGGGTTCATTATGTCAGACCCTATGCCAGAGCTTACAGGGTCCATTGAGAACACATCTTGCAAAGCTCCAGTACCTTAAGAGCCAGAGGGGATCCATCCCAGAAACGAGCTCCCCAAGTGAGGGCAGAAGGGGCTCCAGGGGCAGGGGATTTACCCCACCTCAGAAGCTTTCCTGGCTGAGCTACATACCCAAGCAGCTCTCCCAAGCAGATTGGGCCTTACCTCACGCACATACTGGTTCCCATCCCCAAAGCACAGCAGCAAATGGGGCAGCACATGAACCACATAGGGCTCGAACAGCTTCCCCAGCATCGTGCAGAGCATCTCAAAGGCAAACAGGGCTCCTGTGGGGAAAGGGGGGCGTGGGAATACATGAAAATCGATCATCCTCTCAGGGCTGCCACATGAACACAGGGGCTGGGCACCCTCCTGCCACCTCTTCACCCAATGGGAACATAGTGTAGCAGCCTCAGTCCTCAAAGCAGGGGTGCAGTAGATCAGAGAAGAGGAGGGCTGGGGGCTACTTAGCATTAACAACTAAAGATAAAGCCTCTTATAGTAAGGGTTCTGTGGAGTTTGAAATTAGAAAGACCAGGACAGCACTAAGTATGGAGATGTACACCTGTAATCTCAAGATTTGAAAGGCTGAAGCAAGACCGTAAGTCTGAGGCTAGCTTAGGCACTTAGGGAGAATTTTCCTCAAAATGAAATAGAAAAGGCTGGGCACAGTAGGTAAGTGTTTGCCTACCTAGCAGGTGTATGGCCCTGGGTTTAAACCCTAGTACTAAGGGAAAAAAAGTCCAGACCAAATCAGGAAGAACAGGACCGGGATGGGTCACACTTAACACTCTTAATGGTCACACTTACCACTATTATCTCTGTAACACACACACACACACACACACTCATTTCATATGCTGCCAGCAACAAGTTTAGATACCCACCCTCTCGCCTGCGGAAGTTCTTCTTATCCTGAATGGCATCAGTCAGCGCTGCCATCATTTCCTGCTGCTTCAGGGAGAGGATGCCCAGGCCCTTCACCAGGCCTGCCAGCCCGTATGCTGCCCCTTTGCGCTCTGCATACTTGTCCGACTCCAGCAACTGCTGCATGAGTCGCTGGATCATTCCTCCAGCATCCTCCTTGATAGCAGGCACAAGAGGAGGTAAGCAGCTGGCCACAGACTCCTGGACCTGTGGAAGGAGCCCACTGATCAGTGCAATTTCAGTGACTGCCTGTTCTTGGTGACCAACAACCCAATGCCACACACACCATATGTCCCACTACCTGCCTCAGGCCAATGGAGAAGCTGTTTTGTACAGTCTCACTAAGACCCCCATGCTTCATTAGGGCACATGGTGCAAAACCAACATGATAGCAGCATCAGATCAGCCCTGTGGTGCTGCTCCTAGTCTAAGTAGAAAACTGGGGCTAAGTCCATTTAGAAAGGGTTCACTGAGAAAGGCCACTTTACCACCATAAAATAGCCTGTCATTCAGAGTAATATTTATTGGAAGGAACTCCAGGAAATAGAATCAAGAGATTTCTTTTTTGCTGTTTTTTTCTTTCCTGTTTCCTTTTTGTCCTGTTTGTTCATGTAGATGTCTGGGAGGATATGGGAAGGCACAAAATGGAGGGACAAAGGGTACACAAATGTAGCAGTGGTACTCACTGACACTATGTTGAAAAGGATTACATAACTTGTGTGTGGGGATGAGAGGGAAAAACTAAGACAAAGTGAGGGAAGGGGTGGCACTGTCCAAAAAGAAATGTACTCTTTAACTGATTTACATAACTGTAAGCCCTCTCTGTACATCACCTTTATAACAATAAAAATTAAAAATAGGCTGTCTCCAAACTTCTCAAAGTCACGGGGAGACTGGCTAGGCCTTATAGATCAGAAACAAAGTTTCTGAAAAACAAAAACATTCAGTCCTACCCTCCTATCTCAGCTCAGGAAGCAGAGCAGTATGCTACCAGCTTTTGCAAGGGTGGGGTCTTTTAGCAGGACAGGTTTTCTAACCTTCTATTTGATCACAACTTTAGAAACTTGTTTTCAACTGTGAACTTAATGAGACAACTCTGGGGAGGGGATTCCAAAGTGCAAATCATTGAAATTGTACATAAATATGTATGCTTCAAAAAACAAGAAACGAACTGGGCACTGATGGCTCACGCCTGTCATCCTAACTTCTCAGGAGGCTGAGATCTAAGGATCGCAGTTCAAAGCCAGCCCAGGCAAGAAAAGTCTGTGAGACTCTTATCTCCAATGAACCACCAGAAAACTGAAAGTGGTGCTGTGGCTCAAGTGGTAGAGCACTTGCCTTGAGCTGAAGAGCCAAGGGACAGCGCCCAGGCCCAGAGTTCAAGCACCATGACAGACAAAAACGAAACAAAACAAGAAACTTCCTCTGCATTATGGCTTAAGAGATAGCATTAAGAGTTAGGTGCTGGTAGCACATACTAATAATCCTAGTTACTCGAAAGGCTGAAACTAGGAGAACCAAGGTTAGAGGCCAGCACTGACAGAAAAGTTCACAGGATCCTTTTCTCCACCCATTGCTGGCTACAGCAGCACGTGTCTGTGACTGAGCTATGTGGAAGGTTAGGATTAGGAGGACCTTGTTATAGGGCAGCCATGGATGAAGTCTGGAGACTCTGGCTCTATTGAAAGATATCCCAGAAATGACAAGAAGCCTAAACATAAGCAGACTGTGATTCAAGCATGTCATTCCCATGGTAATCAAGATCTTACTTTTAAAAACAATGAAAAACAGAGCTGGAGGTGTGCCTCAGCACAGCCTAGGAAGCACAAGACCATGAGTTCAAACTCCAGTTACTCTCTGTCTCTCTCTGACACACACACACACACACACACACACACACACACACACACACACACACACACACACACACACACACACACACACACACACACCTGCTAGTAAATGAGTAGAAATATAAGACACATCTTCAGCTCTTAAAACAAGAAGACAGCCAGGTGCCGGTGACTCACACCTGTAATCCTAGCTACTCAGGAGGCTGAGATCTGAGGATCACAGTTCAAAGCCAGCCCGGGCAGGAAAGTCCGTGAGACTCTTATCTCCAATAAACCACTAGAAAACCGGAAGTGGCGCTGTGGCTTAAGCGGTAGAGTGCTCGCCTTGAGCTGAAAGGCGCAGGGACAGCACTCAAGCCCAGAGTTCAAGCCCCACACAACAACAACAAAAACAAGACGACTGTCCCCAGAAGTTCACTCCATTATAACCCAGGCTCTCCCTGAAGGGCCTGCTAGGCCCCTAGCATCCCACAGTTTCTCTGCAGTAGCTCCCCATTTCTCTGCAGGCTCATGGTAGCCGGAAAGCAGGTACCTGCTGGGAAGGGGTGGAGAGGGCAGCGATGAGCTTGGCAACAATTGGCTTCACTTTGGGGTCGCTCTTGTCCAGGTGCTTGGCCAAAGAACCCATGAGGACTACCACACTCTGCCGCACGGCGTCATAGCTGGCATCATTGGGAGCATCCTTCAGAAACTCCTCAAACACTGGCAGCAGCGAGTTGACGTTCTCCTGGAAAGCCCAGCCCACCAGCATCACAGATCACACCACAGGCTGCCATGAAGACAATGGAAGTCAAGTCTGGCCCTGGGACAGATGTCTTGACAGGGCAGCCAACGGTGATACCCACAGCTTTCCCAGTTTTCCAGCAGAACTACAGTGGACATCTAGGAATTTAACAACCTCTTAGTCAATTCTTTCCTTTTTTTTTTTTTTTTTGGTGCCAGTCTTGAGGTTTAAACTCAGGGCTTGGATGCTGTCCCTGAGCTTTCTTTTCTCAAGGCAAGAGCTTTACCACTTGAGCCACAGCCCCACTTCTGGCTTTTTTCTGGTTAACTAGAGACAAGAGTCTCACAGACTTTTCTTCCTAGACTGGCTTTAAACCACATGATCCTCAGCCCTATGAGCTACACAGCTCTTTCAGACTTGTTGATTCAACAGAAACACAAATCTAACCTTCCACGAGGGGTTAGTGTCTTCCTGTGATTTGTGGCACTCAACACCTCAGGATCCTCTACTCTGCCCTATCTTTCCAGCTAGCAGAACACAGCTCACCTTCCCATGGGCATTGAGTGTTGCAAGGGCTGCATCTAACATGCACTTCCGGACATCTGGATTTCGATCGTTGAGAGCATCAGGGACAAAAAACTGAAAGAGTGGCTTCACCTGAGAGCTGTCCAAATACTGCGAGAGCTTATTGAGGGCCAAAGCCAGACCACACCTGAAAAGAAGTGCAAGCTTGTGAACAAAGGCCAGCCAGTGTTCCATGCCAATGGAACTGTGTCAGAACACAAGGCAGGGAGCACAAAACCATCAATACTACTTGGCAGGAAAATGAAGCACCCAGCACTTGCCCAATGCTCTGAAACGATTCACTTATCACATGAAGACCAGCCACTTACCCTGAGTTTATCTCCTATAGGTACCCTTAGGGAAGGGACCCATTCTGCCTTTTCCATGCATGTGAGTACCTTGCCTACCCCTCTATCTCCAGGCAGGTTATAAAAGGAGAAAGGTGACACAAACAGATGTGGATGCTCCCAGACGGGAACATACCACAGAGATAATGCGGTGCTATTCTTTTCAGCTACAGAAAAATAAGGCTCCCAGTGCAAAGAAACTATGTGCTTTTTCCCCAGAAGATGGTCTGGAATGAAAAAGAAACAGGTTAGCCGGACACTGGTGGCTCACGCCTGTAATCCTAGTGACACACACACAGGAGGCTGAGATCTGAGGATAGCAGTTCAAAGCCAACCTGAGCAGGAAAGTCCGTGAAACTCTTAGCTCCAGTAAGCCACCAGAAAACCAGAAGTGGTGCTGTGGCTCAAGTGGCAGAGCACTAGCCTTGAGTTGAAGAGCTGAGGGACAGCGTCCAGGCCCAGAGTTCAAGCCCATGTCCAACCAAGGAAAAAAAAAAAGAAAGAAAAAGAAACAGGTCCATTCCCCATTCCATCCATTCCACATACACAAAGCCACAGAGGAAGGTATAGGTCAGCTATGAAGCCCACTCTGAGGGAGGTAAGGGTCCTCTACAGTCACACATGCTCTCAGACCCACCTCATCCTCTAGCAAGTACCTGTGGAATTAAGGGGAAGAAAACTAACTCTAACAGAGCACTTCACACATTGTTAACGGATGAGTTCCAACACCTTATGAGGTAGGTACTAGTATCCTGTGCTGCACACAGATGAAGAAAACATAGGCCTGGAGAAAAGGAGGGCCGTGCTCAAGGGCACAGCGTTGCCACAGGTCTCTCTTGGCTCAGGATGCCATCTTTCCTTCCATTTGGGATGCCCATCCCTGGACAAGGATGGGAACAGAAGGTGTACCTGGCTTCCCACTGATCCGGAGGGGATTCTGAAATTACTCGACCCAAAGCATCCAGTACTGGGGGTGGCCTCTGTAACAGACAAGAAGATAAATGCCCTGCAATGCTTGTCTTATCCAGGTGACAGATGAATAGCCCAGATACCAGACTAAGGCAGAAAACCAGCCATAAGCCCCCTGACCAACTTTGAGCACCAAGACTCCTATCTGGAGTCATCAGGGGCCGAGCAAAGTCCAACCCAACATCACGCCCTGAGGCTCACAGCTGCTGCTCCAGTCACTCACATAGAGCTTCTCCTGATAGATCTCCATGAGCCTGCCCATGACTTCTGCTGCCTGCCACTGGTACCGAGCCACGGCCTGAGAGAGGGCTTCAGCCCCAGCCTGCCGCACAGCTGCCTCGTGATAGATCACATCATCAATCAGCAGGGAGCAGAGATCTGGCTGCAGATCGAGGCCCATGGTCAACCAGAGCCTGTGGTGGACCAAAGGTGGGACTAGTCAGATATGTAACTACAGATACCCGTCTCAGCACCCCTGGCCCTTCTCTCACTGGAGGCTAGCCTAAGGGAAAGAGGATGAGGCAGGAGAAAGCAGCCTTCCACCATCTCTTACCTCTCGGCCAGCTTCTGGACCTCCTCCTCCTTGTCAAACTTGACCACCCAGAGCCTCCGCAGAAGGCTCAGGCCATTCTTCTCATCACTATCAGGTGTTGGTAACACCAGCTGGAGCTCCATCAGCCCCTAGGTCAAAGAGTGATTAGACCATGAAGCTCACTCTCAGAAATCTCCAAACTGTCCCTAGCCTCGGCTGTTCAAATGCAACCATTATCTGCATGTGACTATTTAAAGGTAAATCTGAGGCTGAATTTAATCAAAGTATGGTCTATGTATGCATACAAATATCATCACAATGAAACCACTTTGTAAAATTACTATGTGCTAATTAAAAATAAGAAAAAAATTAAAAAATAAACCATCAGTTTTACCAGCCACATTTCAAGTGTTCAATAAGACATGTCTCCTGTATTCAACAGCATAGGTAAAAATTTATCCCTACTACTACACCCAGTCCCATAGCAGCCCTGGTCCAGGAAGTGTTGGGTATTGGCTTAACTCGGAGCATGCTCAGAATTGGTGCAAACAGCTTTTCTCAAGAGGTGAGGATACCACACAAAGCACATGCTTAGCATGTACAGGGCTCTAGGGTCAGTCCTTCATGCCAATAATGATGATAACAGTTCTTCTGTGAACTGATGTGATGGTAGAATATTTTCCATTATAATGGTCAATAATTTAACTATAAGCAAACAACACAGGGCTGGATGTGGTAATGTATGCCTGTAATCCTTGCTACTAGGAAAGCAGAGATCTACAGGATCATGGTTTGTGGCCAGCCTAGTCAAAAAATAAATAAAAATAGAAGCTGGGTGCTGGTGACACACACCTGTAATCCTAGCTATTCAGGAGGCTGAGATCTGAGGATTACGGTTCAAAGCCAGCCCAAGCAAGAAAGTCTTAAGACTCTTATCTCCACCTAACCACGAGAAAACCAGAAGTGGTGCTGTGGCTCAAAGTGGTAGACCCATAACCTTGAACAAAAAGAGCTCAGGGATAGGCACCAGTGGCTCAAGCCTGTAATCCTAACTACTCAGGAGGCTTAGATCTGAGGATGTAGTTCAAAGCCAGCCCAGCAGAAAACTTTCTGAGACTTATCTCTTTTTTTTTTTTGGGGGGGGGTCTGGTCATGGGGCCTGAACTCTGGGCCTGGGCGCTGTCCCTTAGCTCTTCAGCTCTACCACTTGAGCCACAGCGCCATTTCCAGCTCTTTTTGCTCATGTGGTGCTGAGGAATCGAACCCAGGGCCTCAGGCATGCAAGGCTAGCGCTCCACCACTTGAACCACAGCGCCATTTCCGGCTTTTTTCTTTTTGCTCATGTGGTACTGAGGAATCGAACCCAGGGCCTCAGACATGTAAGGCAAGCGCTCTACCTTCCCAGCTCCTCTATCTTATCTCTTATCTAATCTCTAATAAACTACGCAGAAAAAGCTGGAAGTGGTGTGGTGGCTCAAGTCCTGGCGCACTAGTCTTGAGCACAAAGAGACACAGAGACAGCACCCAAGCCCTAAGTTTGAGCCCCAGGACTGTCAAAACATAAATAAATAAATGAATTAGTGATACCCCCACCCCAGAACATGTTTGGTTTTCCAGTTCTTAGAAGAGCCTAAACCACCCTATGACCTTTTCTCCTTGCCCCTAGGATCTGTCATCAGGGTGAGGGGCATTCTCTCAAATTCTCATCATGCAGTTCAAATACTTGCACAGTGACAAGGAACACCACAATGGCCCCGGGAGGGAGTGGGGACACACCCGGAGCGCAGTCTCCCGCACGCTGGCACAAGGGGACTGCAAGGCACAGAGTAGCACATCCACCTCCTCCTGCTCTGCGAAGGCGCAGCCGTCCTCGCCACTGCTGCTGGCACACAGCGTGCTCAGTGTATCTGCAGCAAGAACCTGCGGATGACATTAACCCACTTGTCCAGTTCAATCAATCAGGGGTCCACAAAGGACTCAGAACCCCTATTAGGGCTAAGACCAGTACCACACCACACAAAATGGCAGCACCCATGCAAGATGCCTCACAGCTGAGAACAGTTGGCTGTTTCTCAAAAACAGCCCTATTGCTAGGTCCAAAAGTGAGAGATGATCTCTTTTGAGAGAACTAGGACAATCACTCATGCCAGGACCTACAGTCAGGATCTAAAACAATCACAGAAGTAGGAGACTGGAGAACACATCACCTGCAGTCGGGGCGAACCTGTCCCGATCACCCAGGTCAGCAGACGCAGCATGGCCACACGAGGCAGCAACTCAGGACCATTCTGGGAGAGAAAAGCAAACAGGCTGGGGTGAGTCTGTGGAGAAGGGCTGTACCCATGCCTGGGGCCAGTCAAATAGCAAGATCTCATCCACAGAAAAATGAAACATTCCATGGTCTAAAACCCCATAAGGCCTACAACCAAGTCTACAGGCACACACCAGCCAACCATGATCCTCATAAATTTAAATACTGAAGCTTACTGGAAATTCAGACTAGAAATATAGTTGGGCCATAAACATGAATACTTAGGTTTACATATATATTTTAAATTTTTGGACCTGGGTGCTGTCCCACAGCTCTTCAGCTCAAGGCTACCACTCTTCAGCTCACTCTACCACTTGAGCCACAGCGTCACTTCCAGCTTTTTCTGCTTATGTGGTACTAAGGAATCAAACCCAGGGCCTCATGCATGCAAGGCAAGTACTCTACCACTGAGCCAACTTCCCAGCACTAGCATGCCTTGGGTTCAATTCCTCAGCTGGAAGTGGTGCTGTGGCTCAAGTGGTAGAGCACTAGCCTTGAGCTGAAGAGCTTAGGGACAGCATTCAGGCCCAGAGTTCAAGCTCCACTACCGACAATTTTTTTTTTAATTTTAATTTTTATTTATTTTATCTTGTTGGTCATGGGGGCTTGAACTCTGGACCTGGGCACTGTCCTGAGCTCTTCAGCTCAAAGTGAGCGCTCTACCACTTTGAACCATAGCGTCATTTCTGGCTTTCTGGTGGTTAATTGGAGATAAGAGTCTCAGACTTGGGGCTAGGAAGGTGGCTCAGTGGTAGAGTGCTTGCCTTGCATGCATGAGGCCCTGGGTTCGATTCCTCAGCACTACATAAGCAGAAAAAGTTGGAAGGGCGCTGTGGTTCAAGTGGCAGAGTGCTACACTTGAGCTGAAGGACAGCACCCAGGCCCAGAGTTCAGGTCCCATGATCACACACACACAGACACACACACACACACACACACAGTGTATGAACAGTGTAGACTCTTATATAACTGGTAAAATCAATAAATCAGGTGGTACACACTGAAAGAAATGGAAACCTGGCATAGCTAGTCATATAAAAGCAGCATGACTCATTTTTGCATTAAGGCACTCACCACACCATGTGGGCTGCTACCGTAGGTATAAACACCTCTTCTATTTCCCCACCAGAACTGTTTATGGGTTTTAAAATGTCATGAGCACCTGCCTTCCTGAGGTCCCCTCAAACCAAGGAATAACAGAGCTTCATGCCAACCTCGTCCACACGGCCAGGAGGGGTGTCAGGGGAGGTCCTCAGCTGAGCATGAACAGTGAGGATCTGGAGAATCTGGGCCATCTGCTCCTCCTCCTCCTCGCTGTGGTGGGGCATTTCAGTAAGCACCATCTTCAGCAATGGGAAGACCAAGGAGAAGGCTGGTGCAGACAGGGGTGCAGCATCTGTAATACCAAGTGGGACACAGGATCTTGGAGTGGGCTGGACCTGGACCACAGCTGCCCATGTAGCTTCAGGGAAGAGGAGAGGCAAACTGGAGGCCCTTCTGACACTGGAAGCATCCATTACTACACAGGGATGATGGCTGATCTTACTTTTACCCACAACACAGCCCACTTCCAGAATGTGGGACTTGACAGAAAAAATGGATAGAATAGAGTCACAGTGACTCACAGAATACCAGGACTGGACTCAAATGCCCTCCTTAGTCCAATCCTCATTTTTCAGACCAAGGCCAGGAAAGAAGACTTGCCTGCCCAGGAAGTCTAGGCAACACGTAATCCTCTAGCACTCTGCATACCAGCCATTCCATCCTGTGTCCCTGGCCCCATGCAGTCTCTTACCTGGCTCGCCCTTGCCCACCCTGCTGGTGATTGTGTGAGTGTGCAGCAAAGTCACTGCTCTCTTCACAGCCACTGACAGATCCTCCTGGCACCAGGACTTATCCAGAGCACACTCTGGCTTTAGCAGGCGCAGTGTCACATGGCTCACCAAAATGCCTGTGGAGAGACCCGAGAAGGAGTGACCCACACAAGGGGCAGAATCTGGCCCTGACACAAATAAGGGGTCCAGGGCAGAGGCACCTAGTCCTCTGAATATAATCCCTTTCTTCAATCTAACCTCTCACTTTATCTTTGTGATATTGTCCAAGGGTAAGGAGATGGGCAGAAGCTATCCTTGTGAGGATATTTTTGTTTTTTATGTAGCCCAGGCTGATGTGGCACTCACAATCCTCCTGCCTCAGCCCCCTGAATGCTGGGATTGTACTTGTATACCTAATGCATGGCTGCTCAGGAGCTCTGGGCAGCAATGACTAGCCACATTGCAGCAAACCATCCTCAATACCATTGAATTTCTAATTTCCTAGTTTTAAATTTGCTAGAGGGCTGGGGGTATGGCTTAGTTGGCAGACTGCTTGCCTAGTATGTATAAGGCCCTGGGATTGATCCCTGGCACCTTAAAAAAAAAAAAATTTGCTAAAGAAAGATAAGATGCCAAATAGCATCTAAAACCTGTTCCTCAGAGTGAAGGCAGAGAGGATGCAAAATGGAGAGGAGACACATGTCACTCCTGAGCACATCCAGTTGGAGGTTTCACAGGCTGCTTCCACGTAGAAACAAAATTCAGCAGCTTAGATTACCATAGGCCTCTCCACAAGCACTTAGGAGCATCCCAGCCGAACTCCCATACTACCCTGGGCCATCCCCACAGTCAGTGAAAAAGGACTAACCCAAAGCCTTGAGCCTACGGGGCATAACACAAGCTGCCAAAGACAGGAAGGGGCTCTTGATCCTGGGAGCAGCCAAAGGAGATTTCAGCAAGGGTAAGAAGGAGTCGATCAAAACAGGGATGTACTGGGTCAAGCCAGACGGGTTCTTGGTCAGGATGGTGTCTAGCAGTCCTAATGCCACCTCCAGCTCCCCATCCAGCTGTAAGCAGAGTCAACCAGAGAGCAGGTCAACAGGGCCCCACTCTACGACAGCAAGAAATGGGACTAAGTCATTGAGTACTTTCAACCAAGGGCATGCAGTGGTCACGCTTACCTCTTGTAGTCGTCTCCGGATCTGTGCCTCCTTGTCCAGCTGGGCCTGCAGCATTTCCTTCTGCTTGCTGGTCAGCTGCACCTCCTCTTTTATGCCTTTCTTCTTCTTTATCTCCTGAAGGATCAGAGTTAGCAAACCAATTCTACCTCCAGGGAACAGACCTGCCTCTCTACCGGAGGAAGGCAAGCTTGCTTCCACAGAGAATACCACCAGCTCTAAGTCTGGGCCTGGGGTCCACAAACCCACCCATGTGGCTTCCCACCATGACTATAAAGTCCATGGCCACTGGATGAGTACAGTACAGAGACAAAAGTAAAAAAGCAAAATAAAAACAAATTTGGCCAATCTTTTTGGCAGTAATAGGGTTTGGAATGAGGGCCTCAAGTTTGCTAGGCCAACAACCTACTCCATGAACCACATACTCAGCCTCTTTTACTTTGTGTTTGTGTATGTGAATGTGTGTGTGCGCGTGCGCGCACGCACGAACACGTACATGTATGCATACAACTAGCATTTAAATACAGGGCCTAGGAACTGTCAGGGAGCTTTTTTTTTTTGGTCAGTCCTGGGCCTGAACTCTGGGCCTGGGCGCTGACCCCAGCTCAAGGCTAGCGCTCCACCACTTGAGCCACATCATCACTTCGGCTTTTTCTGCTTACGTGGTGCTGAGGAACCGAACCCAGGGCCTCATGCATGCAAGGCAAACACTTTAACACTGAGCCACCTTCCCAGCCCTCAGTGAGCTTTTTTGCTCAAGGCTAGTGCTTTACCACTTTGAGCCACAGTACCATTTTTGTCTTTTTGGTAGTTAATTGGAAATAAAAGTCTCATGGACTTTCTTTGAACCACAATTCTCAGATCTCAGCCTGAGTAGCTAGGATTACAGGCATGAGCCACTGGCACCTGGCATATCCCTTAGCTTTTTTACTCAAGGCTGACATTCTACTACTTAGGCCACACCCTGACTTTCAGGCTTTTTGCCGGTTAACTGGAGATAAAAGTCTCATGGAGGGGCTGGGAATGTGGCTTAGTAGTAGAATGCTTGCCTAGCATGCATGAAGCCCTGGGTTCTGTTCCTCAGTACTAAACAGAAAAGGCCAGATGTGGTACTGTGGCTCAAGTGGTAGAGCGCTAGTCTTCAGCAAAAGCAGCTCAGGGACAGTGCCCAGGCCAAGTTCAAGCCCCATTACTGGCAAAAAAAAAAAAAAAAAATCTCATGGACTTTCCTGCCCAGGCTGGTTTTGAATCATGATCTAATTTCAACCTCCTGAGTAGCAAGGATTACAGGTGTGAGCTACCAGCACCCAGCTTAGGTTTTGTTGTTTCTTTTTTTTTTTAATGGGTTCTTGAATTTTTGCTCAGAGCTGGCCTGGCTTCCTTCTTTCCACTTCCCTTCCAAGTAACTGGGATTATAACTGTGTCCAGCAAGAAACAAATTTTAACTGTACTTTCTGCTAACAAATGCAAGAAGAGAAATACATTAGAGAAATAAAAGAGCTCTCAAATATCTCTAATGGGTATTGTGGTGGCCACATGGCTTTATATTCAGAACAGCCTTCCCCTCTCCCCGTCCCTGCCCTCCTGCCCAGATGGTCTCTCTTTTTTTTTTTTTGGGGGGGGGGTCCGGTTGTGGGGCCTGAACTCTGGGCCTAGGCGCTGTCCCTCAGCTCTTCAGCTCAAGGCTAGCGCTCTACCACTGGAGCCACAGCGCCACTTCCGGCTTTTTTCTTTTTGCTTATGTGGTGCTGAGGAATCGAACTCAGGGCCTCAGGCATGCAAGGCAAGCGCTCTACCACTGAGCCACCTTCCCAGCCCCGGCACTAGCATTTTAATGGGTGAAGGTAAACAAGAAACAAGTGAGCAAATACAAACAAGATATCAGAGCATGAGAATAGTCACAAGGAATGAGTATGAGATGAAGATAATCGAAGCAGTGTGTTCACATGTATGAAACACAACAATGAAAACTGGTACCTCACTTATATAACCGTAACCCCTCTTTATATCACCTTGATAATAAAATTTTAAAAATAGAAACAAAAGGGGGCTGAGAAGGTGGCTCAGTGGTAGAGCGCTTGCCTTGCATGCCTGAGGCCCTGGGTTCAATTCCTCAGCACCACATAAGCAAAAAGAAAAAAGCCGGAAGTGGTGCTGTAGCTCAAGTGGTAGAGCGCTAGCCTTGAGCTGAAGAGCTGAGGGACAGCGCCCAGGCCCAGAGTACAGGCCCCACGACCGGACCCAAAGAAAAAAATAAATAAATAAAATTCTTATCTCTTCACAGTCTAACAAAACAGACATAAGCAAAAAGGGGGAAAAAAAGCCAGAAGTGGTGCTGTGGCTCAAGTGGTAGAGTGCTAGCCTTGAGCTGAAGAGCTGAGGGACAGCGTCCAGGCCCAGAGTTCAGGCCCCACGACCGGACCCCAAAAAAAATTTAAAAAATAGAAACAAAAACAAAAAACTGGTGGAACTGTTGGAAAGAGGGAAACGTGATAGGAGATAGTGAGAGGGAATAAGGTTGATAGATTCATAACATTGTATGAATATGTGTGTAAATGTTACAATAAAGCCCTCCTCTCCCTTATACAACTAGTAAACCAATGTATGGTATTTGAAAGAGAGATAGGTGGGTATAAGGAAGTCGCTCTGAGAAGGGCTTGTATAGACTGAGATATCAAAGAGAAGTACAATCTAGCCTCCAAGGTTGAGTCAAATGGGGCCTAGTCTTCAAGAAGGGAGACAGGCATGAAACTGAGCAACAGCACTTAAGTGAGAAACTGGTTTGCCTTGAGTGGGGGCAGAGGAAGGGTCAAGAGAGTGTGATCAGAGAGCAGTGGCATGTGCCCTGGGTCTCATGGGGAAGCCTTTGTGTAGCAGAGCCTTGGTGATCTCAGGGCCACCAAGCTCAGCAGCCCTACTAGACGCCTCTGTGGACTCACCTCCTTCAGCTCCAGCTCAATGATCTGCTCCTTGAAGGAATAAGCTTTGTTCTCTCGTTTCATGTTGGCCTTTTTTATGCTGTCCTGCTGAGCACTAAAATATAAGTGATTAGCTAACCACCAAGCTCTTCAGCCTCCCACTAGCCATGAAATCACTGTTAGCTTTAATTATTTTTTCCTTTTGTGGTGGACACTGAACTCAGGAGCTTTTGTATGCTAGCCAAGTACTCTACCACTGAGCTATACACCCTTCAGTTCCAACTAACTTTTTTACTTCCCCCCCCCCTTTTGTTTTTTTTACATTTTTTGAGGCAGGATCTCAATGTAAATAGGGTCTCTATGTAGCCCAGGCCAGCCTGGAAATCACATCTTTCTGTCAGCCTCCCAAGTGCTAATATTGTAAGCATACACCATCACGCCTGGTGTCCAGCTAGCCAGGATGGTGCTAAGTCATACACTGGCATTTTTTTTAGGTCTTAGGACCTAAAACCAATAAGGTATTTGCCCAATGGACAGGTTGTCTTGTTTGTTCTTCACAATGACCCTACAAAAGAGGTGTTGTCTCTATCATACAGGCAAGAAAATTAGGGTTGGTGCAGGAAAGGCAACTATGCCCGTCAGTGAATCTTACCTCTGGATGATGGATTTGTCAAACAGCTCCCCGGCAGGAGTCTGCATGATGGCAAACTCCTCCCGAGTCACCAAGCGCAGTGCAGGGTTCTGCACAGAGGCAGTGATAGTACTGATGAGCTGTGGAAGGACCCGATCCGGGGACAAGATGGAAAGGGAGCCCATGGCATTCATGGAAGACTGCCAGATAAATACAGACAGAATCAGTCTGTGCCAGGCCAGCACCAAAACTCAGTCCCACAACACCTCAATGTCCTTGGCAGTTGGCCCCCTTATCTCTGCCTTGTTCTTTCCGAGTACTGCTCACCAGAGTGGACAACTGTGGCTTGTGCCTTCTGTAGTAAACAAGCTTTTATGCCTTGGCCTTAGTCTGCTAACAGCACTCTGATTTGAGGGAAGAAGGAGAACACACAAACTTGTTCTACACCCTCAACCTCCAAGATGCAAGTGGAGCCCCCCTGATCCTTTCCAGAGTTGTGCACGTGACCCAGACTAAGAAAGGTCAAGACAGAATTTGAGTCAGGCTGACCGAGGAGGAGACCCATGCCAGCTGCAGCTGATGAGACTAGGTATGAGCACAGAACACTAGCAGCCCCCTTCTACCAGTAAGAGAAAGACTGAGGATGTAGAAAGCAGATACAAGAGATGATGAACTGGATGGAGTAAGAAAGACACCCATCCGTACAATCCCAGCAACATCAGCTGACTCTAGCACCATCAGACCCAGCTAGTCGCATCCTTGATTTCACAGGTAAATAAGGAATTTCCCTTTGGTGCTTAAATGTATTTATATTTCTGCCACTTACAACTAAGGATCCAAGCCCACAGCTTATCACAGCCCCTCCTTTTTGTGCCCTCCATCTCCAACCAGAAGCCTGAACCAGCTCATGTGTCCATCACCTGGTTCAGGGGACTCTGTGTGGCAATCCTGGGAATGATCTGATCCAACTGCCTGGTGATGAAGGCTTCAGGGTCAATCTTCATTTTGGTGAGAAGTGCTGGCCAGAGTCCAGACTGTACTGCCACTGCAAGGGAAGGGCCTCCTTGAAGCTTTCTTCCCAGCCTATTCTCCCCTGCCCAATGAAGTCTGACAGCATCTCCCACTCCCATACCCACGATAGCCACAGACCTAAGGATGGGTGATGGGAGATGATCAGCATCTCCCGGGCCAGCTGTTCCGTACTAGTGACATCACCCTCGAGTCCTGGGATCCCAGAGATGACACACAGAGCCTCCTGCAGGACTCGTGGAGACACATAGGCCTTTCCTGTATCGGTCATCTCTCCAGCATCAGTCAGAAGAGCTTCTAAGGGCAGCACCTACATGGAAACAATGTATGAGTTCCCAGGGCTTACAGCCCCAAGCAGGAAACCTACCAGTGACAATGCATCTCCCATTCACACTGTGCTCTCCCACAGGCTGTTAGATGCGCCGAGATAGTGTGACTTCCCACATAAAAAGCCTATACAGGGAAGAAAATGGACAACTGGTCCACGAGATCTGCCCATACCCACATATCTGTCACTAGCTTATGGAGGAAAGCAGTGAAACATGGTCTACTCCCAAATTCCTCCCAATACTGACTGGGAGACCCTGTGCAAGTCATCTCAGCTCATATGAAAAATTAAGGGTCATAAATCCTATCTGACTTGAAAGGTACTGTGAAAAACCAAAAGGGAGACTGGCAGAAAGTACATTAAAGTTTATTAAAATGCTTTAAAAGAACAAAGATTCAAAGAGGAAAAGGATGAGCCATGTGTCAAAGGGCATGGAAAGGGTTAAAAAGGTCTCTAAAATGATGAGGAATTGTATGAAAGATGTTACAAGAGCTCAAGGGCAAAGCAGAAGATTCTGGTATCTCTTAAGGTCTGAATGAGAACAGTCCAGGAATGGCCCAACTAAAACCCCAAGATATAAACCAATGAATTGGCTGAACTGAGCTCTAGTCCAGGCTCCATACAACCTCACCTTATGAGACGTGAGGACATTCTTCAGCTCCTCCAGGAGGCCACTGGCAAGCTTAAAGCCCCCGAGAGAGGACAGCAGTTTCCGAACCGTCTGCTGAGCTTGCCTACGCACGTGCCAGGTGCGGCTCAGGAGCACTGCCACCAAGGCCCGGTAGTACTGCCTGCAAGCATAGGGACAGATCATACTGGAGCACCAGGGAGCAAGGCTTTCCACAGCCCACACACCACATCCCACTCCTCCACACCATGCAAGGGCTTGCCTTGTTCAACCCAAGGGATAAAATAAGCAACCTTTACGTACAGAACTTTGTTGCCGGTGAGTCTATGCGAGTGGTCAAGAAAAAGTCTTTCGGTCAAATGCAACACAGTACAAAGGGCTGCAAGAAGAAGAAACAGTGGAAAGTGTTGGGCTTTTATTTTTCAATAGCTAAATGTCTTTCTCTCTCACTAGAATAAACTGTTAAATTAAACCAAAAATATAGATAGGAAGTGACAGTTCATTTTTCACACATAAGTTTCAGAATAAAATATATTCTTATTTTAATAATTAAAATAATTACTAAGCAGGGCACTGGTGGCTCACATCTGTAATCCTAGCTACTCAGGAGACTGAAATCTAAGGATTGTGATTCAAAGCCAGCCTGGGCAAAAAAGTCCCCATGAAACTTTTATCAGAAAACTTGAAGTGGCACTGTGCTCAAAGTGGTAGAGCACTAGCCAGCCATAAGCAAAAGAGCTCAGGGACAGAACCCAAGTCAGGAGTTTAAACCCCATGACCAACACAACAACAAAAAATCACTAAAGGAAGGAGTGACATTGTACAAAAAGAAATGTACTCATTACCTGACTTATGAAATGGTGACCCCCTAAGTATAATCCCTTAATAACAATACAAAATTATATTTTACATAAAAATAAATAAATCACTAGCCACATAGGGTGGTACCCGCCTGCAACCTCAGCATTTGTGAGGTCAAGGCAGGAACATCCAGGAAGTCACCCAGCTTGGATGCCACAGTTGAACCTTCTGGAAAAAAAAAAGGATAAAAATTTTTTTTGAAAAATCTACTATGAAGTTCAAAACTAAGGGCCTCATACACAAGATATGGACAGATTTCCCACTCTAGAAAACATATAGAGGGCTGGGAAGGTGGCTCAGTGGTAGAGCGCTTGCCTTGCATGCATGAGGCCCTGGGTTCGATTCCTCAGCA